GAGATGTTTATTACAGTTTTGCAGCAGCAAAAATCTAGAAACAAATGTCAAAAATTATATTTAATTAGTGAACTAGATTATTCCACTGGAAAAAAGGTATAAACTTCATGCTAAAGTTAATATTGATGAAATGGCCTTGCATTAATAATTTAAAACTAAAGAATGATATATAAATTCTAACTCTTCTTCTTTAAGATCAATTAACAACAAAAATATATATTTGCATTAATAAGGATTATTTTATAATGATTGCTTATTATTAAAAGAAAGTAGTGGTAGTTCCAAGATATCACTTAGCAGGTGGTTTTAGGTCTCTTAATCTGTATTAGGGAGCTCAGGTGACCTAGTGGAAAGAAGCTGAACTGCAATCCCGAAGGCACGTGGTCCAAACCCACAAGCTGACCTATAAGAGAAAGATGATCAGTCTCCTCTCAAGCGATTCAACTGCCTTGGAAAACCTGCTGGAGGGTCAGCTATGGGTCGATTCCAACTCCATGGTAAACACAACAACGACAACATAGCTGTATTAGCTCCCTTAAAAGCCTCTCTGTACAGACATAAAACAGTTCTACAACAGAAAAATAAATGGTGTTACTATTTCCAAACAATTCAAAGAAAGCTCCCTCTCTTCCTCCTGACCCCCTTTCTCTCATCCGATAAGGTTAAGTATCCCTAAATATTTCTTTATAGAGATTCTGATCTTACTATTGGTTTGGGGAAGTGAAAATAGAGATAGCTTTTTCTGATATACTCTTGAGTTGTTTGTTTGGTTTTGCTTTTGCTTTAAAAAATTATGACGTAATGTTTTTGGAATTGTATATCAATGAAAGAATTTTTCTTTTACTTTTCAAAGAGAGGAACGAACTGGGGTGGGAGGGGGAAGGATGGGCAGGGAGAAAAATGCAACAATGAATGAATGCAAATCCAAAATCTCTGTAAACTTTCATGAAAATTAATAAAAAAAAATTATAATAAAGATTATGAAATAAAATTATTCACCATTTAAAAAAAGAAATTCTAAAATTTGTTTTAAAAATTTGTCTTGCAGCTAGTTAGATGTTTTTATTTCCACTTTTTTTGGAGAAAGGAACTTAAATATTATCAAAAGATTGGAAATACTTCTTTACTTCTGGTCATATTTCTTCATTTTCCTATTTTATGTATCATGAATTTTTTTTTCTCTTACCTCAGACTTCAGTAAAAATCTATGAAATAAAAAAGGTCAGAATGTTTTCTCAAATATAATTTCCAGTCATTGTTTTCTGCTCCTCTCTTCAAAGTTTGACTTGTAGTACCCAACTCAGTTTACAGATTCCCCTTTTCATACAAAGATATGCTGCTGACATACTAATAGAGTTACTTTTCAAGAATTCATTTTCCAAGGATTATGTGGATTTTGCACAATATAAACTATATGTGTTGTGATATGTGTTGGCAGTAACTGTATTCTCCTAAACTTAAGCTTTGAGAAAGCAGGCACAATGTATTATCTTTATTTCTAAGTCTAGCAGAATGCTTTCTTTATTAGAAGCTAATGTATGGTCATTAAGTGAATAGACATTTAAAGGTTGCCTACTTAATTACTACAGTTATTTAACATTTCAACTAATAATTTATCTCTTACGTAAAACAAAAATAATAATATTGCTTTTCTTTCCATCCTCAGAAGTGATACATGAGATCAGACAAGATAAATGATGTGAAATAATTTATATACTACAAAATATTCTGGGAGGACACCATGGAGGAAATTGTTGAAATAGCCTAGCTCTGAAATTCTGAGCTCATTGGAAGAAAACTTAAAGAAGGACCTTTAAGTCAATAATCTACACATTTCTTAAATGTACATTTGAAGATCTAGTATCTGATTAAACAGGTAAAAAGAAAAAGGAGGCTGGTGAATTAATTTAAAATATGTATTGGCTGTGTTTCGATTTCCTCTTATTTATATATTTTACTTTGTATCATTGTGATAAGATGCCTGAGAGGTATTTGTACTGATCCCAAAGCCTAATGCTTTAAATATATATGTAAATAATAAACAATTTAAAATACAAAATTATTATACAAAATACTGTTGTTCTGTTGTTTTTAGGTGCTATCAAGTTGAGTACAACTGATAGCAACCCTACGAACAACAGATTTTTTAATTTATTATTAATTTCAATGAAAATTTACAGAGACTTTGGATTTCCATTCATTCATTGTTGCACTTTTTTCCCCTCCCAACCCTCTGTCTTAGTACACCACCCTCTTGGAAAAGTAAAAGAAAAATTCTGTCATTGTTTTACAATCCCTTCCCCCAGGTCCACTCCACTATACAGCCCTCGCTCTGGATTCCTGTCATGACAAAAATACTTAATCACATACCCCTCTTAAACAGTTTTCTCCCTCATCTGTTTCAATGCAGTATACACTATTGACCCCATCTTTCTCAGTCTCCCCACCCCCACCCCAAGGTTGGTCCTGTTTTACAACAGTGGCACCATGCAGTATTTGTCCTTTCGTGACTGAGAGAGTTCACTCAGCATAATGTCCTCAAGGCTCACCCATTTTGAATAATATTGCATGAGTTCCTTGTTTTTCAATGCAGCATAGTATTACATTGTGTGAATATACCACAGCTTCCCTAACCATTCTTTTGTTGATGGGCACTTAGGTTGTTTTTAACTCCTTGCTATTGTGAACAAAGCTGCAATAAACATGGGTGTGCGTGTATCTGCTTGGATGGCAGTTATGGTCTCTTTGGGGTATATTCGCAGTAGTGGAATTGCTGGGTCAAATGGTATCTCTATTTGCAACTTTTTGAGAAAGTGCCATACTGCCTTCCACAGTGGTTGCACCATTTTACACTTCCACCAAGAGTGAATAAGGGTTCCAGTTTCTCCACAACCTCGCCAGCATTTGTTGTTTGCTATTCTGTTAAACTTTGCTATACTGACTATGGTGAGACGATATCTCACAACTGTTTTTGAACAACAGATCTTAACCTTGTCCTATCCCTTGCCATCTTCACACTTTCTGACACACTGGAGCCCATTGAAGCAGTCACTGTGTCAATCCTTCTGGTTGAAGGTCTTCTTCTCCTTTACTAACCCTCCTCCTTTCCAAGCATCATGTCTCTCTCCAAGGTATAGTCCCTCAGAGCAACATGCCTGAAGTATGTGAGGTGAAGCTTCATCATCTTTGTCTCCAAAGAGCACTCCGGCTGCACCCTCTCCAAGACATACTTGTTTGTTCTCTTGGCCATCCATGGGATGTTCAGTACTCTTCTCCAACATCACAACTCAAAGACATCAATTCTTCTTCTGTCATCTCTATTCATTGTCCAGCTCTCAGGTCAGAAAGACCATGGCCCAAATTAGATGTACCTTAGTCTTTAAACTGACATCATTTCTTCTCAATATATTAAATATTTAAGTAGAATATTTGCTCAACTCTGTTGGAGACTTGTACTTTTGGAAAAACTTCTTGGAAGAAATTATATGGCATATAAAGAAGGAGAAGTAATGAGATGTGTATGTTAAGGTCACCAAATGAGGCCTTCTCAGGGACACTAACTCATCTAGGTGTAAATTTGAATCACATCTTTGGTCTCATTTTGGCTTGAAGTTACTTATTTCTAAGCTCAAAGTTAAGTTATAAGATCTCTAAGGTTACTTAGTTCTCTAATATTTCAAGATTTTATAATTTGATTCTATTATCTTCTTATAATTCTATGCCAAAATTAAAAAAATGCCAATTATCCTGCCTTCTTATTTTGAAAAAAAAAACACAACCCAAACCTTATTCATATCAACCATCTTAAGGGACACCCACAGGATGGTATTAACAAGCACAAAATGACTGACGATTAATATTAATATCCGTTAAAATCCATGCCTACACAGAGACTTGTACACTAATGTTCATAGCAGTGTTATTCACCATTGCAAGAATATGGAAACAGCCCAAATGTCCAACCACAAGCGGATGGATTGAGAAATTATGGTACATTCACACAATGAAATACTATGCAGCACGCAAGAGCGACGACTTTGTAAATTATTACCTAACTTGGGAGGGGCTGGAGATCATTATGCTGAGTGAACTAACTCAATCCCACCAGGACAAACAGTGTAAAAGCCATGATTATAGAATGAGAATAAAGATCCAAGTGGGGGAGGTGGAAGCAAAGAGATGAGGGTGTACAGGGAGAAGGGGGTATTAATTGTGCAGTTGTACAATTTGATGGGTGTGGGGTGAGGAAAATTGCAAGGATCTGTTATGGAAAACAATGTATTTGAATTTTGTAAATAAAATAGCATAATAAAAAAATTAAAAATAAAAACAATTTAAAAATCCATGCCTACATTAGTAAAATTAATCAAATCTTTAACCTACCTACCTTTGTTAAAATATCAGAGTACTGGGTTAGCTCTCTTTCTCTGTTTCACTCACACACAGATAGAAAATGATCATCGCTTATAAGGTTCTTCAGATCATTAACTATCCTCCTCCATCTGACATGTAAAAATCTTTCCAGGTATTTTATTTTACAGTAATATTATTTTACAGTAATATTTAGGAGTAAGATTCTTTCTTGACCAGAAGTACCTGAGGGGAAATGAACCTCTGTTCTCTCCATCCAATCTTTGGGCTAAGGGTCTCACACCACCTGCTGCATCTTGCCTTCCAAAACTCCTATTCCAGCTGGGAGAAAAGAAGAAAACTGTAAGGGAGGGGAAGGCTGATGCGAGCTGGAGGCGGGGATTGAGGGATGGGAGGCAGCAGGAGGCGTGGCCCGGCTTGAGGCTGTCGGAATAAATACAGAGAACTGAGTGCGGAGTGTGAGAACTCCGGGGGAAGACTAGCGAACTGAGCAGCACCGTGGACAGCGCCCGGCAGCGCCCGCGCCCAAGCCCAGCCTCACACTCACGCTCAGGGTCTCACTCGCTCCACACTTGCTTCAAACTCACTCGGACGCCCCTCGCACACGCAGACTCACACCCCGTTGGACAATGGCAGAATCCCACCTGCAATCGCCCCTCATCTCAGCCTCACAGTTTTTCGAGATCTGGCTTCATTTCGACGCTGATGGTGATTATCTTCCCTTTCCCTCTCTCTATTTTTTTGTTTTGTTTTTTAACAGTTTAAAGATCCATTTCCTACCCACTCTTTCCTGTTCCACTTTTCCCTTTTTTCTTTCCTTTTCTTTTCTTCTACCTCCAAACCCCAAATCTTCTCTCCCAGCTCTCTGTCAAAACATAAGTCTGAAAGTTTATATTTTTTCTGTGTAAACCAGAACCTTTAACTTTTGCCTATGGAAATAGTGAAGGTAAATGGTAGGCAGAAATAAGGAGGGGGACCGCAAGCGATGAGATTATGGAGTAGAGGTCTTGCTGCCTAGAGTTTCTAGGGTTGCATTCAGAACCCCAACATCCTCCCTCAGCTTTAAGTGGATCTGAAGTTCGACACCCCGGGAGAGGAGCTTTGAGGCATTAGAGCCTCTGCCTGTTCTTGCAGTCTTTGACAAACGTAGAGGTTGCCAGGAAAATAGTTGTCCTGGAAAGTGAATTGAATGAGATGTTTGACACCTGGGTGCGTCTTTATCTTTGCAGGAAGTGGTTACCTGGAAGGAAAGGAACTCCAAAGCCTGATCCAAGAGCTCCAGCAGGCACGGAAGAAGGCTGGACTGGTAGGTTCAAGTTAGGGACCTCGAACCAAAAAATAATCAACAGTCTCCTGTTTTCCTGAAGAGCCAGTGGAATGGAGTGCTTCTAGGAAGATGTAAACTTCTATTGACTGAGATAGGAGAGGGCAAAAAGAGTCCTTCTAAATTGGTAGGGGGAAAGAGGGGGAGAAAGAGAGATTTCCTAACGGGAAATACCATAAAGTCTGGAGCTGGAGCTTTTAAAATATGTATCCTATACTTGTACTTTCTTAAATAGCTCTTAAAAGGAAAAGTGTGGGTGTGTGAGATCCTTTTGCAGATCATCACCTCTACCACTGAGTTTGTTAGATAAATTTAAACTTCTCTTTTATTGTGTAAGAAGTGAGGGGGTAGAAATACATTTCTGCCCCTTACTGGTCAGGAAACAGAGCTGCAGACTATGGATCGCCACTTTGTCAGTTATTATACTGGTGTTGATGTTGATGAGATGAGCAAATGGCCTGTTTTGAACCTCCTCACTGGGGAAAAGTTAGACAACTTACAACCCACTAACAAGAATTTAGCAGGCAAAGGTCTTCATATCTGTTGACAGGCAGTTAGAAAGCTAAAAAGTAATTTTTAAGAAAACCCTATCTTTTTGAAAAGCAAAATGATACTCTGATAGGAAGCAATATAAGTTACATTTGTGATTTAAGCCATTAGTTAATTAAGCAAATGATATTCTTATTAATTATGAATGCTTTCCTTGGAGTATAAATTTGCCTGTTAAGATGTCAGTATAAAAAAGAAAATATAACCAGTGTTAGATATGTGCAAATGCTGTACAAAGGAAAATAAGTGAACAATTTTACTAATCTGTTCAGGTTTCTGTAAGACTTCTCAGAAGGCAGTGATGGATTTTGTCTGGTTAATGAACTTCAGTTTTTCTGATTATTGTTACAAAGAGATTTTTACATTACACAGTTGAGGGATGTGAGTGTGTGTGTGTGTGTGTGTGTGTGTGTGTGTTCATGTGTAAAAATGTGTGTGCTTGAGATTCTTTAATAAATCACCACCTTTAGCATTGATAATGAGATAGATATATATATATATCATTTGCTTATGGTTTAATCATTAAGCTGCTAACCATAAGATCGGTAGTTCAAATCCATGACCACTTATGGAAAAAAGATGAGGAAATCAGCTTCTACAGATATATGGCTTTAGAAGCTCTACGGAACAATCCTATAGGGTGACTATGAGCTACAGTTGGACTCAGGAGCTGGGGGTATAATACAATGAGACCTTATGCTGTATATAAATTTAAAAAGGTCTAATGTACATCTCTGTGCTATATACTTAGGGGAAACCCAAAGAAACTTGAATATACTATAATGTACTACTAAATTATCAGGTGCTAAAATTGTTGACCAAATTGATTTAAAGCCATGTAGTTCTCTAGGGATTACTTTATCCATATTTAACATTATGCAAAACTAAAACTTTAATTCAATAGACTCAAATAAATGGAAAATGTTTATATTCTCTTTCTTACTTGCCACACTCTTCTGCCACAATGTATTACCATAAATAAATGCACTCAATACTGTCATTATAATGCTATGTATCTTAGATAATAAAACAAAGTAATTATTTTCTTATTTAAAAATATGTATTTAAAATAATCTGCTAAAATATGTTTGTTTTCCTTAAAATTAAAACCTAAGAAGACTTTTCAAGATGCTAAAGGACTATTTTATTCTTTTTTTTTGTCTTTTCAATATTGACATTTATTTTTCTTGGAAATTACAATATTTAGAATAAATTTTTTCACTATTTTATTCCTCAATTTTGGTATTTACAGATTTTTGTAAAGTTTATAGTTGGAATTTTAAAGAATTAACAGCTTAATTATTGTTTTCATTTTTATAGTCTCCAATTTTGGAGTATTTGAAGTTCCAATTGTTATATTATATCCTAATAATAACTGTTAGCATACTTAAAGGATTATATCAAGTTGGTAAGACCTAATTGCTGATTATTTGTCTTGAGATACATATATTTATACATACAGGCTTTGGATAGTTAAAAATATAAATGAATATCTGCATTGAGAGATTCACATATCTGACATGTTTCACTATATTACCAACTCCACTGTCCCAAACTTACTTTCATATATTTCTCCTATATTTTTAGCACAACAATTGAATCTACAAACCAGGATTCTTAATATTTCCTGTGATATGATAACAAATTTCACTGCATCACAGGAGTGCTTTTTTTATATTTCACCAATATCAGTGAAACATTTGAATGAAACAGAAATCAATGGATTTTTTAACCCTTTTATATGAAACTTGGTGCTTAGTCTTGAAATTTGCATTCATTTTTATAAAGCTTAATATTTTATATACGTTTAAAACATATAAATATTGTCACCCAGAAAGTTCACAAGTTAAATGGCAAGTCTACTGATTATGCTCAATGGCATATAACAACAACTGGTTATGCTAGAGTATTACCCAATCCTACACCTTTTAGAACCAATGTTTGATTTTGTTGTTGTTACATTAAGATATGGGTTAAAACATAGAAAATGATAGTTGCACTTTTGAAATTGGGAAATTTCAAAATTTCAACTTTTCTACTCTAATATAAATTAAATATATTCAGATTTCAATTTATCAATAGTAGATTAGGTATTTTTGTTTTATTATTAAGACCATATTATATTTAAATTGTTTTGTTACTATTTCTTATCTTATTTCTCCTAAAGACATTTACATTGAATTAAAAAGGATTGTATATTATTAGTAGCTATGATATTTAGCCTCCCATATAGCCTTTAAATTATATTACCCTATCTATTAGTAGTGTAAGTTTGTAAGACAAACAATATCAACATTCAAGTAATGCTGAAAATTGAGACCTTAATTCACTTTCTCAAGGACGCAGAGTAGGACATTAGTAAGGGCTGACCTATTTTAAATAGGCTTCAGCTAATGCAACAGGGATATTTTAAGTGGGCTATGTTACAGACCCAAGGGTAAAAATTCAACTTTCTGGATATTAGTTCTATGTTTAGAGTCCTAGTTTACAATTTGTAGCTTTTTGATTTGCCAATTAGTTGCAAACGACTCGACGGCACATAACAACAACAACAAAGAGATTATATAAGCAATAGAAGAGATAGTAAAACAAGCCAAATGAAAAAAACGTATTAACTTTGGCACTCTTAAATATGTCTTTTTCAAAGTCATATAAGACAAAGAGTATCATCTTAGAAAATGAAAACAAGACAAACTTGAAAACTACTCCTTATATTACCCTTCATAGCAGAGATACCAAATATATATAATCAGTGGCATAAAATAAAGTTATTGACATTGTGTCTGATAAACCATAAACTGATCAAATTATTATCTGACATATCTTTTTGATACTTAATTTGTTAGTTTACTAAAGTAGATTAATGCCTCTTTAAATGCTAAAAGCAGTCTTTGCTCACACTCTTCAACATTTACATTTTTCACCTATTCAAACTGAAACCACGTATTATTGTCATTTTGATAAAATAGTATGGTAAGAGATGGGGGAACTACATTAAAAGATGATGTAGCAATATAAAAGGATCTTTACTGAGGAAAGCAATGTCTAAATTGCATTAACAATGATCATTATTTTTAAATTTACAAAAGTTGAAAAAGAAATCTGAGTATATTTTTAAAATATGACACTTTCTTAGACAAATAAAAGAAAATAAATAATAGTAATTGATTAAAATTATAATCACAGTTATAACACATTCATTTTAGATAAACATTGTATATCAATTACATCATTAATTTTTATAAGAATAGTTAATAAGCATGTATAATTCTAAATGGTTCCAGTTCCATATCTTTTTCTAAGAAGTTAGTGAAGCCATCACAACACACACACACACACTAATTTTAGCAAACTTCTTACCCATTTTCATGTCCTTTCAGGAGTTGTCACCTGAAATGAAGACTTTTGTGGATCAATATGGGCAGAGAGATGATGCAAAAATAGGAATTGTAGAGGTAAGAAACTTACGAATTTTTCTAACTATCATTTTAATAAATGAGCTTTATTTTGTAATTGGGGAAACTCAAATATGGTTATACAATACATGTTCAAAGTAGCATGTTTCCTCTAAGTGGCTTGGTATCTTTTGTTCAGAACTATAAAATTTAAGATGGTTAGATAAAAAAGATCTAAGAGTGTGTGGCCAGAGCAATCCTTAGAAGAAAGGATGATGAGACTTTATCTCATATACCTTGTGAATGTTATGAGAAAGATTCTGTTCCTGAAGAAGGGTATCATATTGAAAAAGCAGAGGGTCAGGGAAGGGAAGGAGACCTTCTAGGAGACAGATAGGCACAATGACACAATAATGGCTTTATACACAACAGCGACTGGACGGAGGGCACAGGATCAGACAGAAGTTCATCCTGTTGTACAAAGTCTGAGTCAACTTTACAGCACCTGACAACGAGAGTTTGCCTAATCCAGGATCTAAATTTAGTACCTTAAAAACCTGAGACACAGAGAAGTGAAAAGTTTTGCTTCTGTCTATGCAGCTGTTTGCTGACACAAGTACAGTTAGAAGGCCAAGATTCCAACTTCTGGCTTAGTGCTCATCTCGTTGCAACCTTATTTCACTGAAATGCCCAACCTCATACAAGCTTAATTGATATTTCTTATTGTATTGCAATAAAATTTTCTGTTGAAAATGTAAAATGAAATATATACAGTCCCTATGATAATATACTGGTAGACATCTGCATTCTAGTTTCAAACGTTCTATTTTAGATTGGCAATTGGCCTTATTAAAAATGCAAAAGCTTGACTAAAGTGAATGAGTGTGTTATGGTCTGTTTTCACCTTAGATTTGAGTCTTGAAAATTAAGATAGTGGATATCAAATCTTATCTTTTTACATCAGCTTTTCCTATGGAGGACAACTTTTGTCTATGAATCAAGGAACCAAAACATTGATAATGTACCAGTTCTTTTAACTCAGTCTCAGCTTGGTGAAATAGCTGTTATTTCCCTTACTTCTTCTTCTTCAAATTCTCATAGTTAAATTACTTCATCTCTCTAACCTACTGAAGAAAATGAGAGAAAACCTCTGTCCAGAAAAAGTTAATAGGGTAATATTTCAGAATATGCTAAGAATTACTATATTCTTTATAGAGTGTTTTTGGCATATTAGATAATGACCTATTCTGACAAACAACATTTAGTCACAATTTACCTTTCATTCTGAGAACTAACCTGGATTTCACATTATCAATCTTATAGGACACCTGTGATGCCCCTGTGAACTACACTTATTTTTAAGCAGATCCCACAAATAGAGTTAAGAAAGGACATACTATTATTATCCTTATAATTAAATTTCTTCCCTGGGGTATACACTTTCTCCTTTGCCTATGGTAGTTAATTACTATATAAATAGATAAATTAATAGTAATGGGACCTACTGATTAACTTCAAAGCCAACTAATCAAGATTTGAAATCACTACAGTTAAGAAAATAACTTTAAAATGAATAGAAATTATACAAGGTAAATCTGATTATAAAAAAACTACTTGGAAAATATAAAATTAGGGAAATTATCAATGTGACTATTTTAGAGTTTTGTATATTCTAGAGTTCTAGAGACAGATGATTATAATCCTACATATAATGTTTTTCAAATCTAAATATTTCAATGACCTCAGTTAGTTATTAACTTCACCTAATTTCTCAGTAATATAAGGTTTTACAGTAATATAAAACATGTAGATCTGATTCACATGGATTTTACATATTCTTTAAGGACAAGATGGATATATCTATTATTAATCCAAGTTTTTTACATTTAATATAATCTACTTTTTCATGGTTGTTTCTTTTATAAATTAGTTTGAGGTCTATTTTAAATGAGGGGTGAAGAGTCATTTAACAAATGTTAAATTACTATAATGTAATTTAATTAAATGTAAATTACTCTGATAGAAAATTTTCCAGAATTTTAAAAAGAAAGCTTGTCATAGTAGAAGAAAAGAGTTTGAGTGTAAAGGAAGAAAAAGAAGGTTAACAGGAGAGAATGAAGCATTTAATGAAGGTTGAGATGAAAAATTAGAGGATTGTACAAGAAAAAATAATTTATATTTGTATGATACTACACAATTGATAAAGTATTTCCAAATATAGAATTTGATCCTTATAGCAATGAAATAGGTCTAAATATAAAGTGAACATCTATCTCCTAGATTAGGATATAAAAGACTGATGAGGATTTGCCTAAAGTCAGATAAAATAAGTGTTGGCAAAGTCAGAACCCAGTCACATTGCTCTAAGTTACCTATCGTTTAAAATGAGAAAAAAGTGTGTGCATTTTGTGTGTTGAAAGATTTTCAAGTTTCCCTTGGTTGGCTACCCATATTTAGAGTTTTGTCTGTTTGAGTAAAGATGTACAAAGTGTGCAGAAATTACTTGTTCAAAACACTGAGATACAGCTTAGGCAAGACTGTCCAGATCAGGTCAAGGAGAAAATGTCTAGAGAAAAAACATGCGAGGTACATCAAAATCAGTGAGAAGATTTCAGTGTTTTAGGACAGGAAACTTGTTGCTAAACAGGTCCTTTAAGAAGAACTAGCCCAAAATGGGGAGGGGAAGTGGAGAAGTGGGTAGAAGAAGAAGCGAGGAGAAAAAAAATCATTAGGACAACAAAGGTCAGTGGGCAAGAAGGGTGGTAAAACAATAGGAAAGATTCTGTGATAACTTAAAGGGTGATAATAGGCATAAATACATAGTAATCAATTAAATAAAACTCAATATATGTTAATGATTATATAAAGCATAATACATACAGATGATTATAATCAAACCAATTTTTTTTAAAAAAATGGACTACTAGCCAGGGGCCTTATTCTAAATATGAAAAACTGAAACCTAGAAAGGAAGGTTCAATGATTTGTCCCAACTCTACAGACTGAGAGTAGCAAAATGTATATCTTAATCTAAATCTCAGTGTGATTACAGTGTTTTGTTTATTAACCTCAATAATCAACCCACAGAGGGGGTAATGGTGAGAATTAGTTGGAAAAAAGGGGGCTAGAGGACAGAAAATAGGAGTCAATTACATCTAAATAAAAAACAACAAAATCACCAAACAACTCTTGCCACTGAGTTGCTTCCTACTCTTAATGACCCTAGAAGACACAGCAGAACAGAACTGGAGTGGATAAATAGGAATAAACAAAGTTGGATAAAGTTCTGAGAAATTACTGTAAGGGAAAACAATAATGACATTACCAAAATGAAGTAGAAAATGGAAGAAGGGCAAAGAGGAACATTTATAAAAGTATATCTTCACATTTTCCAAATTAATATATGCTCACTTGGTAAGAAAGCCTATATATTAGACGTAAATCTACAAAATTCAGCCAACTATGAAGGAACAGAAAACTGTCTTACCCCATTTCCCCCAAAATATACTAATCTGCGTCTTCATTTCAAGAGCACTGTAACTTGGTATTTAAAGAGTAAAGAAAGCTGGATCTGTTGCCATGTTAAGTCTATTTGCTATAGGTGATGATTAGCACATCAAAATCCAATGAAAGTAAACCAAAATATGGTCATGCTGTCTGCTTTAATTGTTGGCTCTAAGTGAAATATGTTGTTCAAAAAATTGAAAAAGATAATGACTCATTTTAAAGTTCTAACCTAATAAAGTTTTCCAACAGCATGCTTTTGCCAAGAAATATGCAAAAAGGGAGGGTAATGTACAGATTTGTTTTCTTAAGAAATGTGTAACTTCAAGATGTTAGAGAGATTTTAAAATCCACATAAGCACAGTACTGTAACAAAGAGATTTTTAATATGAAAAAATGGGAGCACTGAAATCCTAAGATAATTTAACAAATACCTGACAGCCAGAAAGATTCTAAATTTATTCACACTTATGCTGTATTGCAAGAAGCCTTGGTAGCATTGTGCATTCCCTGTTAGGCTGCTAACCAAATGTTTGCAGTTTGAATCTACCAGTGACTCCACGGGAGAAAGAGAAGTGGTCTCCTCCCTTTAGGACATATACTTTTAGAAACCCCGTGGTGGGTTATCATGAACCAGAGTCAACTCCACAGCAGAGGCTTTGATTTTTGGTTTTATTCTCATAACAGAGAAGATGGATGAAAACTCAATGATTTACCAGATAATAGGATTTTCTCCCTCGATGCTCACTTTCTTATAAAATATACCCCTTAACTGCTGTCAATCTGCAAGCTTTCCACCTGATGTTATAGACAATGTTGTAGGAAGCTACTCAGTCTTGTTGTTTGCATTTGTCCAGTTCAGTAAATTTATTTAAAGAAATAAATAAGTACATCTAAAAGCTATTTTAATCCTAAAACTTTAGCAACCTTCCCAGAGAAGCAAACACATCTCTAGCTTTTCTGTCACTCTTCCACAGACCATTCAAGGCGATTTGTTTTCTCAGGGGCAGTGCCACTCTTCCATGTGGATTACGTGTCTACCTCGGAATTCATACTTTATCATGCAGGGTCACTATGAGTTAGAATCAACTCTATGGCAACAGATTTGGTTGAGTTTTTCTTCTTGAAAACATAGCCTGTGGAAGGTAATGGAACAATAGTGGATATAGGGACAAGGTGGGCTATAATACATTCCCAACAGAGATCTCAGATGACCATATTATCTTTGAAATGATATCTGGCATGATAGCTGATTAAAGATTTTGCTCTGGAGTGATATTTTGATGATTTATTAGAGGACATTTTGATGGGATATTTTAATAGCGAGTTATAAAGATAAGGAATAATACTTCCCCTAAAATATAAAAAAGCAGTAGTTTAACTTCAAACCTGGCTAAAACAACAAGCCATGTAATAAAAGATCATTTAACCTCTCCAAGCTTCTGTTTTATTATATATGAACAGAAATGACAACATCCTCAAGTTATTAGGATTATAGACACAAAGGAATATAACACAGTCAAGCAAACAGGTAAACCCAGCCCACTGCAAATTCC